GCAGACCAGGAGGGAGCATGGGGCCTGCAGAGGATGACAGAGGCAGCCTGGCAGGAGGGGAGTGAAGGGGCACTGGGAGGGATGGTTTGGGGAGCAGAGCTCTGCAGACAGAGCAGGCCAGGTGAGGAAGAGGCGAGTGCACGGACATTCTGGGAGCAGAGTCCACAGATAGTGAGGAACTGGGGAGGGTGTGGACTCAGGACCCAGACAGAAAGGCCCTTTGCCTGGCTGGTGTAGCTCAGTGGTTGAGAGTCAACCCAGGAACCAGATGATGGTTTGATTCCTGGTCAGGGAACATGCCCGGGGTGCGGGCTCAATCCCCATAGGGGGTGTGCGGGAGGCAGCCAATTGATCATTCTCTCATCATTGAGGTTTCTATCTCTCTCCCTCTCCCTTCCTCTTTGAAATCAATAAAAACATATTTTTTAAAAAAGAAAAGAAAGGCAGTTTACTTTCCCAGCTACTGGGACCAGAGAACAGCACAGCCTTGAAGCAGGGGGCAGAGATAATGTCAAACACACAAGAAAGGTAGAATTTCAGGTAGGGTGGCCAGAGATGATCTCTCTGAAACCCAGTCAAAACTCAAGAACACCCCCCTTCTCTGAGAAGCATTTGCCGGTCTTTGGGGGCTTTATTCCAAAATTCAAACAGGAGCTCTAGGAAGGGCCTCTGGAGCCTGCCTATGAAGAAGGGTGCACACCTGCAGCTCCCAGCACTATCTGTTCTGCAAGAAGGCAGCATGCATGCTCCTGGGGGGAGGGGGTGCCAGGGCCAGCTCTTCCTCACAACCTGCAAGACCTGGGCTGGCACCATGAGGAGGTGGTGGGGGTGGGGCAGGAAGAGGTGCAGTTCTGACCTTGACAGCTGGAGAAACAGGGAACTGGAGGATTTATAAAGACCGTCATGGCACCCTAGGGAGAAGGCAAAATCTGACTTTCCAGATGAGGAAAGTAAGGCCCAGAGAGGGAAAGCAACTTGCCTCAGGGCACCCAGCAAACCAGGGCAGAGCCAGAGCTAGAACCCACATTTTCTGTCTCCTGCCTCCTGCAACAGGCCACAACTGTAACAGAGACTTCAACATGATACACACCACCATTCTCTCAGAAAGTCTATTGCTGCCAGAAGAGGCTATGACAGAGAACAAGAAGATACAAAAAGATGGCCCCTCCACCTTAAAATTGATGACTGACTTTACCTGGAGTTTTATAAAGGGCAGAAATTGTGAGCAAGGAAAACAGCCACGTCAGGGTAGCAGGTTCTGTGTGAAATAGCTTTCCTTTAATTTCCTCTTATTATGCTATAAACTTGACTTAATAATAAAAACATGCTAAGGACTTCTTGATGTGTAATTGCTTATAATATTAAAAATGATGGGAAAATGCTTTCAATTAATATGTATGTGAATCATCCTGTGAGATGACACTTTGAACAATTTTATAAGGGATGTTGGGGGTGGGGTGTCACACATAAAAAGGGGGTCTAAGTAACTGTAAAATTGCCAGTTATTTCTGCAGACCTTCTGGGAGTACAGGACAGATGTGAGAGTGTTTTAGCTGCAGGCTCCCGAGGGTGTGCTTTTCCTGATTATTTAACCTTTCTGTGTCTCAGTATTCCCATCTGTAAAATGGGGCTGAAGGCCTCAGGAGAAAGGATCCTAGTTGAGAATTATTCTGTGCTTTTAGGTGAACTAGGGCTTTATGATCCAATTAATCTTTAGAAGCTCTTGCCCCATCATTATCATTATGTTTTTTGTATCATTATCCTATCCTATCAAAAGCCTCATCTCTGGTTTCTCCTCTCCAGCAAAAAGATCCTATACCTCGTGCCTTTGCTCAAGCTCTTTCCTCTGCCTGGGTTGCTAGATCCAGCTCTCATCACCACTGCCGCCTCGACCCCCGCCCCCACCCCCACCCCATTTGGATGGCCCAAACTCTGAATTTCTGGAGATTCACCTGCTCACCTCCACGCACCTGGATCCAGGCCTGTCTCCCTGCTTTATGGAAGTTCCTGGGGGCAGTGGCAGTGTCTGCCCAGGTTACATATCTAGTCTCTAACACAACAGGGTGCAGCAAGGGCTCCAGGGTAGGCTGCCCAGTGCACTGCATCTGTATCCCAAATCCCTGAGGACCACCTGCTCCACTGTCCTGTTGTTTTGGCCACCCACCTCCAGGTGGCCAGGGCCTGGTCAGAGAATTCGACAACACCTAATTCCAAATAAAGGACCAACAAGGCCCTCTGCTCCCCAATAACAACAATCTCATGCACATGTGCAAAGCTTGCTCGTTGCCCTGGCTGGTTTGGCTTAGTGGCTAGAGCATTGCCCTGCGGACTGAAGGATCCCAGGTTCGATTCCAGCCAAAGGCACATGGCCGGGTTGTGGGCTCGATCCCCAGTAGGGGGCATGCAGGAAGCAGCTGATCAATGATTTTTCTCTTATCATTGTTTCTCTCTCTCTCCCCCTCTCCCTTCCTCTCTGAAATCAATAAAAATACATTTTAAGAAATCATAAAAAACCCCCACAAAAAACAAAGCTTGCTCGTTCCAGCTGAGACTATGTCAGTGTTGTGTGCCCTCCTACTTTATAATGAGGACACTGCAGCCCTCAATAGGCTAAGCTTCCTGACCCACCCAGGTACCCACATTGACCTAGGAGCCCAGCACCCTTCTCACACATTAGCAGGTCTCTATGCATCTGGGGCCCTTACGTCTGGGATCAAGACTGGTGTGAAGAGGGAAAGAATGGGATGCAAGGCATGGCTTTGGAAGGAGGCCGCCTGATTCTACCGGCTCAATCAGAGGTTTGGCTTAGGGATACCAAATACATAGACACTTATACATGAGGAAACTGAGGCCCAGATGGTATGGAAAAGATCAAGACCAGAACCTGACCTCGAGAGATAGGCCAAGCAAGATGAAAAGGTTCAGTAGGACTGAATAGCACAAGCCAGGCTGGCAAATGTCCCCTCTCCCGCTTCAGCTCCCTGCCCCCATGTTCTGTAGATACTATAGGTCTGAGCCCCTCACTTCTATTTGTGAAACTGAGGGAAGTGACTTGTCCTCAGTTTCCCTCCCCTGTAAAATGAGACAGCATTTTACAGGGAAATGGTGAGGTGTGTATGTCAAAGGGCCCAGGACAGAGCCTGGGAGCCAGCCTCCGATGGCCCCTGCCATTTCCTCGTGTCCCGGATACCCCAGCGTCAAACACAAACACTACACTTCCTCCAGTACTCCACCCCAAAGACTGCCCTGCCAAGGCCAGGCCACACTTGGCAGTCTGCCTCCAACTTACTATGTGTCCTTGGGCAAGTCCCTCTCCTTCCCTGGACTCAGTTTCCCTGTCTGTTAAATGAGGCTGTTGGGTGTGGATGACCTTGAAGGTCCTTTGCTGACTCTGACATATGAATGTGCTAGCATCCCAAAGTCACTCCTATAAGCCCAGGCTGATGCCTGGTGGATGCAAGACTGGCCTGAGCTGAAGGGCCAAAGCTCTCCACGGCCCTGCCACAGAGCTGGCGTTTCACTGAGCCCAGTGGGAGTGTACATGGGAGGTGATAGGATATGACAGCAGGATCGGGTGTTAGTGCAGTGCTGAGCTGAAGACTCCACCAGTAGACCCAGTTCCCTGAGTCTCTGGAGACTCCCTCAGGACCCTAGGAGGGTCCACTCAAATGCACACGCAGCTTTCTGCCTCTTGCCCCACAGAGGCCCCTTTGCCAGGAGAGATGAGGAAGATGGGAGTGAGTGTGAGGGGTGGCCCTCTAGGAGTGTGGCCTAAGTCCCGCTGGTCAATTACTCCCTGGCCCTTCACAGGGTGGCCCGGCACTCCGGGGGATACACTGGGGGCTAGAGAATCGCTTTCCATGAACAGTAGAAGCACGAGGCAGAGTCCTGGAAGCAGGGCCTGGACTCGCACCCAGGTCCTTCAGCAGTTGTCCTACAGTCTCCACAGCCCCACGACCTTCTATTCTGCACGGGCCCCACATACACTAAGTGCTCCGTAAATGTCGCTTCCTTTCCCTTCCTTCTTCTAACTCAGGAGGAATAATGTGAAAGGCCTCAAAGACATCATGAACACCAAACAAACAATAGAGGGCCACAGAGGGAGGCATCTGTATCCCAAATCCCAGACATACAGAACACCACTTCACTAGGCCTCAAAATTAGGGTGGCTCCCAACCTGCTCCAATCCTCACACGTGCTCCTCTGTCTCTGGACTGCCCTCTGGGCCAGGAGGACACATGTGGGGGGTTTCTCCTCTGCTTGAGATCTCCCCACCAGTCAGTCTGTGATGGCTGATAACCACCTGTCTGTGGTTCATTCTCTTAAGATGCTTTGGGCATTATCCTGGCTAGACAAGAGGCCCTTAGGATACTGGACGCCTGGCCACATTATTTTGGGCCCCAAGCAATTGCTTTGACAAGGTTTTGTCATTAAGGGCCAATATAAAATAGCCATGGGGGGGGAGTCTGTTTCCTATAAACCTACCAGGTAGAGAGCAAGGGCTCTTTAGACTGTGTCCATCCCCTAAACAAGGGTTTCCTCATATTTGGACGGGGATAATTTTGTCCCCAATGATCTAGTCTGCCCCCTTCTACTAGGTAATGAAAGAAAGTGACCCAGCTTGCTTCTTTTATTGCCCTGGCTGCCAGGAAGCTCCAAGTTAAGCTTTTTATCTCAAATGCTGTATCTTTCTTCAGTCAGAAATTCCCACTAGAACTTACCCCTCTTCTCTCTGGTTACTTCTCTGTCCCTATCTTGGTTACTGTACTTGGTACCCTAGTGTCTGGACTTTCACTGTGCCCTGCCAGGTTCTTCTTGATGTAGGTGAACATGAACTGGGAGATTGTGGTGAAGACTAAACACACTGCAGCCTCCCAACCACCACCTTGAAAGCACAAACCTCCCCCTGCTGAGGCTGGCTGGGGACCATCCATGTGTCCAGGAATGGGCTCCCTGCCTCCCAGCTGAGCTCAAGTCCTTGTGCCAACTGCTCTGCTTACCTGTCATGATCCTCTGGGCCTCGTAGGGCTCCATGTAGCCAGCACTCTCCCCCTTTCCCGCTTTACTCTTGAGATCATTCTTGGCATCAAAGGGATCTGAGTAGTCATCGGCGATAATCACCTGCAGGGAAGAAGATGCAAGGGTGAGTCCACCTTTGGCTTTCTGCTTCACGGCCAGGCTCTGCTCCAACACACACAAACCGAGCCTGCACCACACCAGCAAGGAGGCGCTGGGGGAGGCAGGAACCGGAGCTGCTGCTTACTCTCAGGAAGCTCCAATTCCTGCAGGGGTGACAAAGGGACCCTCACTGGCAGTGCTCCATCACAAGAGAGGGGCCTCTGAGCCTGTACATGCAGCATGGCCGGCTCTGGGCGAGGTGAAGTGAGAACAGAAGGGCAATTGGGCAGAGAAGCACAGAGGCAAGAACCTGGAGGGTGTCTTTGGGAATGTGAATTGCTCAATTTAATGGAATGGAAATGGAAGAAAGTTGGAAAGGAGACTGCAGAAGCCTGGAAATGCTGACAAGTTCCTGGTGCTGGCTGAGGCATAGAAGAGCTTGTGTAGAGATAATTATGTTCAGCGTTCCATTTCCCCCAAATCTGGAACATAACCACGCCTTGGGTAATCAGACAACAATTTGGTGAGATCAACGAACTGTAAAGATGACTGTGGCCCCAGACGGGCCCAATGAAAACACAAAAGCAGCTCAGGATGGACAGATGGACTGCTTGGGCCAGAAAGGGCCTTGGAAGCAACACATGGAAAGACCTTGCTGAAACAGATGGGGAAGCTGAGGTCCAATGGAGGATGGGGCTAGACTAAGACCCTTGGCCAGACCCTCTGCTCCCAGGGCCCTTCCTGGCCTCCTCACTTGTCTATATTTCAGAAAATAGCAAAGTTTTACAACAAATGGACAGAGTCACCTGGCGGTAGGCAGTGTGGGCGGGGTGGGGGTGGGGTTACCCCATGAGATCGTGAGCATCTGGGATATGAACACTTCAGAGACCAAGCTCCACATTTTCCCTGGAGAAGGGTAAAAAAATCTCAGTTGGAGGCTAGGTGTAAACACGACAACTTTCCTTCCCATTTCTTACTTCCTAACCTTCTTGAGTAGCACATTTATCAAAGGGGAAAGGACAGGAACCCACCAAACAGGTTCCCTTTTAACACATCTAGCTCCACCACAAATCCACTGTGACTTCCATCATTATCTATCCCTTTGGTCACACATCTGGCAAAGGGCAAGTTCCTCAACCTCCCAGCCAGGGCCACCCAGCTGCCTCTTTTGGGAGGGGGTGGGTTAGCATTTCTCTCAACCCTGGGGTAACATGAATTGTTATTTAAATTGTGGGTTTAATTAGAAACCACAGGAGCCTCCTCTCTCTCCTAGCTCCTGGAATGTAAGGCATTTGAGGGGCCTAAAAACCCAGGGGAAGGGAAAATCCCCCTTTGTCTGCCCCGCGAATGGCAGCTTGTGGCAGCAGCCCTGGCAGGGTGAACAAGTGACCTCCAGCTGCCCGGAATGTGATGCCGGAGGAGGGACAGCGGGCAGCAGCCCTGTCACTGGCATGCAGCCGGGGGCCAATGGGAGGCATAGCGCTCAGCGGTCAAGCTCTTCCGTGAAAAGACCCAAGGCTGGAGCGCCCACCATCTGAGCATGTGCGCCCCGCTGTCTGCCCCCTGCTGCCTCCTCCAGGGGTCAGGCTCTGAGTCCCAGCGGGGGCCCTTCCAGATGCTGACATGGTAATCGCGGCCTCTTTTGAGACTCACTGAGCTCAAATGACACCAGGCAGGGGAAAGAAAGGGGGGTGGGGGAGAGCTGGGTCAGGCAATGTCTTTCATTTGATATTTCTATTCTACCCTTTGCAGAACACACCAGGGAGAAAATTATGCATGTGAACCACTGTCAAACAGAGCAGCTCAGTCGCTGCTGATCTAGTGTAGGGTTTTGTGTCTCAAGAGGTGAGAAGTCCAAATGGAGAAAATGATGAACCTGCTGCGGCTGACATCTAATCTTAGGTCTCCCGCTCCGGCCTTCCTTCCTGTCTCATTTCAACATGAACATCCTCCATCTATTCTGCAATGAGGAAGGGAGCAAATATTTCCCCAAGAAAACAAAATCATTTGTGGGGGGATTAGCTGAGGAGGTAGACAGGGGAGGAAGCTGGGCTCCAGTCTCTAATCTAGAAATCAACATCCCAGCTCCTCTCCGAAGTGCTCTGTAATTTACAAACATGGAGGTTTGCAGGATATAAACCAAATCTTTGTTAGCCTTGGGACGGGAACTCTGGGAGGCCTTTGGTTCAGCAGGCACTATCTGTACTTTCTAATTAAAATGAGATCTGAGCTTGGGCTGTCACTGGCCCCCAACTGCCTGCCTTGCTTACTTCCGTTTCAATAAGAACTTACAAATCCTAAAACCAGGAAAAGCCCCTGCTCTCTGCTGACATGTGGTTCCAGTTATACCTGCTGACAGTTGAAAATCCTTCCGTTTTAAAAAAAGGTTTAGAATTCTGTTAGTTTAAGAAGCAAATCGGAAGGTTCCTAAAATGTATATTTAATCAACTTGCTTTCAAACTTCAAAGTGACGGGGGTGGAGGAGAGGGAATTTGAGGTTTGAGCAACCTGAAACTAGGCAAACACTTACTGAGCTGTCTGACCTTTTGCAAAATCATGTCCTGGTTTTGGCAAGTAAAAATTTAACCAGGTGTTAGGAGAGTTGCATGGGCAGTTAGCCAGAGTGATGTGTGCTGTGCCACAGGCCCCAGCCACATGCACCGGGCAGTGTGGTCACTGTCTCAGCTGCCCAGGGCTCACTGTAAATCAAGATAGCCAGCAAGAGGCTTGAGTGAAGGCTGTTAAAAAAAAAAAAAGAGAATAAGTTTCCCCAGATGTGGGCTTGGATTCCTGCTGGGGTTGCTTTTGCCCCAGTTAGCAGACAAGTCCTTCAAATCTAATTGAACAATTCAACTAAAAGGAAGACAGCAGGGACTTCTCAGCAGATTAGGCCATCTGGGCACTTGAGATTCTTTCCTTGATTTTGCTCTTGGATTGGCAAAGACCTGATAGGGCATCAGACTTCTTCACCTGGCCTGCTTGCGGTTTCATGGGGCAAGTGCAGAACTGAGAGGGGGACCCAGGCTACTGGTCTCACCACTTCATTATGGAAATGAGCAGCAGCAGAAAGACAAGGGTTATGGCCCTGTCCGGGTAGCTCAGTCGGTTAGAGCGTTGTCCCAATACACCCTGGTTGCAGGTTTGACTCCCCCCACGCCCCCATCAGGGCACAAACAAGAATCAACCAATGAATGCATAAATAAGTCGATCAAATTGATGCTTCTCTCTAAAGTCAGTTTAAAGAAAGACAAGGGTTATGGCTAAACCCCAGGCAAGTCTCTTCTTGCTTTCAAACAAAACTAGAGACCCCAGGTCAGCCCGGTGCCCTTAAAGGACTTTCACAGGCTCATAAAGCAGTGAAACTGGGGGTCCTTGAGAGACCTGCCCCACAAGCCCCTTCTTTTGCATAAGGCCCAGGGCAGCCCAGAAGGCTTGACCATCCCTGCGCACCACTTCTCTGACAGGGCTCTGGGAGTCAGCTCTGCATTCCTTCTTTCTGTTTGGCACACACTGCTCACTCCTTTCCATCAGTCTGGGGCCAGGGTGTTTTTATCGTGGGGACTAAGCGTTGTGATAGGAAGCAGTCTTCCTGTTCATCCCCAAAAGGAAGTACCAGAGAAAGATGGGTGTTGCCACTTGGCAACATGTCCATATGCTTTTGCAAGATAGCTGCACCTGGTGGAGAGCTGGTCCTCTCCACGTGCTCTTGGGGGAAAGGTAAACTGGGAGCCACTTTGAAAGATAACTGTTGACACTATTCATTAAAATCCAGAATATTCATGGTTTAGCTCAGCAACTTCACTTCTCAATATTTATTCCCAAATGTATACAAGGAGGCATGGACCAAGATGCTCATTGGAGCAAGTAATAATGAGAACTTGCTATATCCTACTATGTCTATCCATGGGGAGTTGCTAAATCCTGCTAGTTCCATGCTATGGAGTATAATGCAGCAGGTTAAAAACAAACAAACATGAAAATAGTTCTTTAAGGCATAGCTTGGAATAAAGGAAAGCACATTGTAGAATGAGAGATACAACCTGATATCTATTTAGGAAAAATAAAACAGAAACCTGTATCTCCATTTAATGTAAAGAAAAGGTCTGGGGAGATACACACTTCTCACTGACACCTCCTGCGGGGAAGGTAACTGGGATTGGGGTGGTTACTGGAAATCAAAGGAGGCGTGTCTGTAATGTTAACACATTTTCAAACAAGGAAAACTTATTGATGCATTATACGCAAAAGTAAACTTTTAAAAAAAGCACCCCTCTTCACAGGCTATTTTTGGTACAGCAGATAAACTGTTTCCCAAACTTGCCTGAAGATAGGAATGGCTTGGAATGCTTGTTAAAAAAACAGATACCTACCCCCCAATAATGTGTATATTTAATAAGCAACCCAGGTGATTTTTATCAGGAAAGTTTGGAAAATGGTAAGCTAGGGCCAGACCCCTCCCCCACCAATCTAATGCAAAGCCTTCAGATATTACTCTGGATTTTACTTTTCTCAGATATTTCTCAGTCCCGTTCATCAAAGTGAAGCAAGAAGTGGGTGTAAAGGCAGCTCTCTCTTGCTTTCTTTCCCTGGGAATCAACTGGAGTAAGAGATGACCCAACATGCCTTGGTCCATCTCCAGAATCCAAGACGTAGAGGTAATGGCATCCTCTGTGCAATCTGAGGGCTGGCCCCACATTGAGCAATAGAGCTGTGTGTGGGGAGAGGGCCACACAAGCAAGACCCTGCCCTGCCCAGTGAGGGGAGCCCGGACCCAAGGCTAATCTGGCTGTGAGGATGTGCAAAGCTGTCTGCTCTAAAGCATAGACTCACCCTTTCAGGGCAACTCTACATGGCTCTCAGCACACTCTCAGAGCAATCCCTGGCTCCAGAAAGAGCTGGTGGGACTGTGGAGGAGGCACTGCTGAAATGCACGGGCATCCCTGCCAGAAATCATTCGCACCTGCTCACAGGAGGGACCAGCGAGGCGGAGCAGCTACCACCTT